ATGGAAGTAGCCAAGAGATACACCTGGCCCAGTATGTCTAAGCCCTTATAGATTTGTTACCTACTTCTTATTGTCTGTAACATATCAACTTATTTATGGAATGTCATGAAATACATGTATGTAGTATTACTATGCCCTATAAATAAAGGTGCCCAATTTGTCTGGGTGGTGCAAGTTGCTTGGACTACTTAGGCTCAGGCCTCCTGTGTTCATCACTACTCTGTCTCTTTGTCTCTTTCTTTCTACTTCTTCTTAAATGGAACTAAGCCCAAGGCAGACACTGATAGAGCTCTGAAACAATTTCTTGTCTACCTTGTTTTGCTCTTTCTGGGGACTTCTACTTGTTTTGGAGCATGTATTTTAGCAGAAGAAGTCTCATTGGCCTCTCCCATGCCTTACTAGTAACAGTTGTGACCAATCTGTGAATGGCATATGACTGGTATCCAGGCCAGTGCATGGAGGGTCTGTCTGCATGGTAGAGAGACATAGGGGTATTGCCCTCAGGTCATTGATCATGGTGTGAGTTTTAGTATTCTGTCCTCTGGTTCTGCCCTGTGTTGATCAGTCCCCCGTTGGATCCTTCCATCTGAGCCTTTACTTCCTATCTCTTGCACCAAATCCAAAACCATTCATTATGTTGGATCCTGTCACCACCTCCCTGGCTGGGGACAGCTTGACTTCCTCTACTTTATTCTCTTCCTACTCAATACCAGTAAGTTCCTAGAGTACAGACTACAAAAGGAACACATTTGGGAAACTAGTTTTATTCAATGTCTGATGATGGTCATTGTGTCCCTAGCAATTCGACTACTCTTGATTTCAATGCAGTTCCCACATATATTAATTAGGATTTTCCAGAGAAACAGGATGAATGGAATTTATATACTAGAATACTTCAAAAGTTCATGGAAAAATGGAATTAAAGTTCAAGTTGTTTGCCCCCCCAAATTGAATCCATGTATAATTTTTCATAATATGCATTTTCAATGAAATTTTTGAAGACCTCTGTGTGTGTGTGTGTGTGTATATATACATATATATATATAGGCACTGGATCATTCTATTGTAGAGGCTGAGGAATCCTAAGATCTGTAGTTGACAAGCTGGAGATCCAGGAGAACTGAAGGTGTAGTTCCAGTCCAAAGGATGGCAGGCTTAAGAGCTGGAAGAACCAATGTTTCAGGTCAAGTTCAAGGGCAGGAATAAAATCAATGTATCAGTTCAAACGTAGCCAGCCAGACAAGAGATGTTCATTTTTATTTGGGAGAGGGTCAGTCTTTATGTTCTAGTCAGACCATCAGCAGATTGGTGAAGTCCACACACATTAGAGTAGGCAATGTGCTTTACTTAGTGTACTGATTTCAAATGTAAATCTCATCCCCAAATACATTTATAATCAGATAATGTTTGATCAAACGTCTGAGCATCCTATGGTCAAATGAAATTAATTCAATTTACATTTAATCAACCATTACACCAACCACCTATGTGCAATGTCAGATGGTCTTGTTACAAAGATGAGATATTCAAGAACCAATGATTATTCTTTGCTCTAGGTCCCTCTTCTTGAAGAGATCAAGGTAGGATATGCTAATGCTCAGAACTCACCCAGGCTGTCTTAAGTGTACATGTGAAGGAGCTCAAAGACTGTGAGAAGCAGCCTTAGCATCCCCATGAAAAGGTCAGTTTAAGTTATTCAGCCATGCCATGACAGGGACATTGGAGTGAGCCTCTTTTTTTCCCCTCTTTACTGAAGGTGAGACATTCTTCAAGCCTTTGAGGTGGCATTTTCCGTCCCAACAGGCTCAGTAGGATGTGTGTGATGGTTCCATGGCTTGCTGATTTGAAGCAAGAAGGATGACACAAGAGGATAGTGCAGAAGGGACCCAATTCAGGATCTGATGGCTCCAGTGTGCCAAAGTTCCCAGGACAGCATGCTCATAAGAGGGGGCAGGGGGGTCTCAGGTAGGAAGAAAGTGCTATGTTATGAGTCAGTGTCTATAACAACTGCTATTTGGGTGATAGAAGAGGAAGCTGATATTTGAAGTAAGCTTTCTGTATTGTGAAACAAGATGTACATGGGAACTCCCTAAAGGAGGTACTCACTCACCTAGCCTGGAGGCTGGCAAAGGTTCTCAGGAGAAGGTTGCAGGTGAGTTAAACTTTGTGTGTGGGGGGGTTGTACTGGCCTTCAAAAATTTCATGGGAAATGTATATCATGAAAAATTATGCATGGATTGCAAATTTAAGACCAGAGTGGCAACTAGGAACTGTTTCCAATGTAGTTGTTGAAGGTAACAGCAGAGAGAATGGAGGATGACAATGGGATGGAGCTTTACAAGTAAATGTTGTCTGGTTCCTGATTTGTCACAAACCACTCTGTTTTATGAATTGTTTTGTTTCACTTTAGACAAACCACAATTTCTTTTCTTTTCTTTTTTTTTATTTTTTAATTACATTTGGACCTTTTAGAAACATACCATCAGATTTACCACTATTCGGTAAAAATCTATTCTAGTTTTTGGGAAGCATACGTGTCACAAACTATCTTGCTTCTAGTTTCCAAGATTTTACTAAGAGTTTATCAAAAAGGTAGGCTCTGATCTATGAGACCCTGAGCCTTGAAGTTTTAAATGTTTTATTTACTGTAAAACAATTCCAAGTAGATGAACTTTTTAATTCCCAGCTGTTTTTCTTCTGGAATGGGCTAACCATTTTGAAATTATCTAGTTCATTATAAGAATATTCTATTCCTTAAGCTTTGCGATCTATTCTTTGGAAAACTTGGTAAAAAAGTATTAATTTTTCTGTACAAGAATGAGTTTATCAGAACATACTCAATATTAGTTATAACACAAAGCAGTACAGATAATGTATATGTGTGCTGCGTTCACTTTAATGATTTCATAAGCTAGTAACTACTCTAACTACGGAGACTATTCTGGATCAATGCGATCCAAGTGTAGTCAGTAACAGGCTACACTCAACTCCTTAACACAACTCTTGGTAGCTGATGTTGATTAAAGATTAAAAAAGGGTAAGGAAACAAAACATACTCATATATGATTACATTTTCAAGAAGCTACTCTTTGCAGAAGTAAACAAGAGGAACTTTCAAGAAGCTGCTGAAGGGGACTGGGAGGTTTAAAGCTATGGCTTTGGTAAGCACCGGAGTGAGCTGTAGGAAGGCATCTGTAAGAGTAGATTATGCAGCATCCAAGGATAATTCTCTGTAAGAGGTGGGTATTTTCTCGATCTAAATTCTGAGGCTTTCAGTAGTTGAAGGCTAGGAACAAGATCCAAAGAAAAGAGCCACTTCACAATGCTTAAGAAAGGTAGGTGACCGTGCCGTTAGGCTCATGATGCTAAATGGTCCAAAAGCCTTTGGTGGTGTGATATAGACAAAAAAACAAAAAACCCAAAAAAAAAAACCCCAAAACAAAACAACTAATACACAAACCACATAACACCATTAAAACCAAAACACACTTTTATTTTTAATTTAAAAAAGTATTTACAACACATAAAACAAGGCAATATTTATTCTTTTTTCTTGTCTTCCGGTATAGGGTCTGTCGGTGGCTCCTCCACTGTTGCACTGTTGCTCTCCGAGTCAGTGTTGCTATCACTGGTTTCTTCCTCTGCCAGGCTGTCGACCTCCTCCTGCCCACTCTCCTTGTCCTCAGGAGTAGACGTGCCTTCTTCCCCATTCTGTTGGCTTTCTGTCGTCTCTTCGAGGTGTGTCTCCTCTGTCTCCATCGGCAGGCGCTCGTCGTCCTTTTTCTCCTGTGTCTCCTCAGCTTTGTTTGCCTCCTGCTCTTCCTCAGGACTGAGGCTGCTCTGACTCCACTCCACTTGCTCTGCCACCTCCTTCTCCCTCTCCTCCTGCCTTTTGCAGGCCTGTTCCTCTGCCTGTGCAATCTCAGCTGCGATTTTCTCCATGTCCACTTCTACCTTCAGACTGCACAGCCTTTTAAGTTCATTGTTAAATGAATCTGTGCTTTCCAGGAATTTCCTCTTCTTTTTCTGGTGTCGTTCTTCTGTTTCAAGAAGTTCAGCTTCTAGTTTTTGCTGATGAACCATTAAGGCCTGGACCTGCTGTTTGAGGACCTGCATTCTAGCTGTTGTGACGACTGACTGGACGTCTGGCACCATGCTCTCACTAAGGATCTCACTGATGAGGCGGTGGTTCCTCTGGAAGTGGGCGGTGGCTGTGTGCTTCATGGAAAAGCCATTGTCATAATCATCTGGGTCTTCGGCAGGCTGGATGCTCATGTAAGGTTCTCCTTTCTCCATGCGAGACTGTCTCTGTTGACTTTCTTCCTCTAGAGCAGCTTCTGCACGACTTTTTGCATTTATGTAAGCAAGGTAGGCAGGGGAATTGTGATAGGCCTTCATAGATTCATTGTACTCTATCTTTTCTGCTTTGTATTCGTTTAAATATTGTTTCTCTTCATCAGTGAGCTCTCGCCACATGCCACCAATAATCTTGCCAATCTCCCACAGTTTCAGATCAGGGTTGGAAGCCTTTACTTGGTCCCAGACCTTTCTGCTGTACCTCATGTAGGGCATCAGCGGCTTATCTGGTGGCTTTGGGGGTTTTGGAATCGTGATACCAGAGGACCCAGCTGTTGGTGCCTGGGTTCCCTCCCAGCCTGTAGTTGTTGTAGGCGAGATGACTGTATGGATTGTATCCCACAAACCCTGGTGTGCTGGGCATTTGTGTTGCAGGAGCTGGGGTGGGAGGTGGGGCATAAGATGGTCTTTTTGACATTTTGGAAGATTAAGTTCTCAGTTCCTTAAGAATGAATCTGAGACAGGGCGGGCAGCGATATCAACCGCAGCTCCGCTAGGCTTCCCTTTGTCCCGCGCATGCCCCGCCCCTCACAATTTCTTTTCTTCAGGCTGAGATGAAAGAAGCGACTGACTCTCTCTCTCTGTCTCCCTGTAACTCTTTCCTCCTCACCTCTGCCTCCCACCCCTATAACTTGCGCACTTACCTGTACCAGGTCTGGTGTGAGACGTTTAGCCTGCAGCCATTTCTGGAACCTCACTGTTTTCCGTAGGACACGCTCAATGCTGCAGGTTTTTGGGGCTGAGGCAGAGGTACAGATTCTTCTGTCTGAGATCTCATGTTGGTATTTGCTGACCAGCCTAAAGATCTCCACAGGGCGCCAGGTTTTAGAATCATCTGAGTAATTCACAGAGTAGAAAGGCAAGTCTTCAGGAGGTGGCCCGAGATGGGAAGTCAGCCAGTTGTCATACCTGTTAGAAGATTAGCCCTTTTAGATTGGCTTGTGTGCTGAAGACCAGCAGAGCCTTGGGCCAGGGACATAGGGGGTAACAGCCCATCTGATTCATTTCTCCTTCCTAGACTTGGGCACTCCAGACCCATTTTGTGACAGGACTATTGCTGTTTCCTCAAACTTAGGGAAGTGTATCTATGATGTCAGAAAAGGTGGGGGAGATACGGGTCAGACACAAAACCGTTGTCCTCTTCACGCACTGGTCCAGAAGAATTAGCCATGACTTTCTGAACTGCTCCATGTTAAGCTATCAGCTTTATACATGCTGCCATGTGTTATTCTCCTAATACCTTATCCCCACCTTACAGGTGTGGAAATTGAGGCTTATAGAGTTTAAGCATCTGTTTCATGGTTGTACAATGAGTGGCTAACCGGGGTACAAACTCCAGGCTGCCAGCAAATTTCACCATCTTTCTTTCCTTTTTTCCTACACCGCTTTCCCAAACTACCTACCCTCTGTCCGCTGTCTGGGTCTTGAAAGCATGACTTTCTCCCTCTTTTTCCTAATTTGCCAAAGGTGACATATGCTTGCCAGAGAGACAAGAAAGAAGAGAGAGAGAGAGAGAGAGAGAAAGCTCCTTCCCCCCATGGGATATGGTTATGCTACACATTCTTTCTTCATTTCTCCCTCCTGTTGAGATTTTGGGCACACATGGATAATTAAGTATCTGGATTGCTTTTCAAGCTTCAGGGCTGGGACTTGAACCACATAGTTGACCATTTGAGATCCAGTTCCTTTAACCACTAGGCCATGGGGCCAACCCTGGAACCAGTGTTCTTAAAAATGCCCAGTGCATCTTGGGCATGCACTAGGGAAGCTACTCCCCCTCCATATCTAAGATGGGGAATGGGGCAAAGTCAAAATAATTTTGAAGGACCCTGCCAGCTCTGCCTGCTAAATAGTGTTATCATCTTATTCCAATAAACTTATTCATAAAATGGATGCTAGAGGAAGTTACCAATTTTACTTTCAGTTCAAAGATTTAAGTCATCAGCATCAACCAAGCCTGAGGCAACAGTGGCTGCTAAATGATCATCAAGTTCAAAACATCTGAACTCCAAGAGGTAATTCCACACAATGGCCTGGTGATCCTTAATCCTCCCTGGGGGAAAGGCACTGGCTTATTATCACCTGCCAATTTTTTAAGTCTCACATTTACTTTTTTCTCCACAGGCATTTCTCCAGCTGTTTGCTGACATTTCCATTAGGGAAGAATGTTAAATCTCCTTTGATCTATGTTTGAAAAATTATTCCAAAGAAGTTTACCTTCATTATTAATAATTAAGGGTCACACTGCAAATGAAAACCAGTTTATATAAAATGCTATATATTTAATTTAAACAAGAATTAAAAAATTCTTTTTATTAGGCATTGTTGAGCGACCCATGATGAGTTGTGGATAATGCATTTTGGATGAATTAACATTTTTATTAGCCTCAATCCCTGGATTGTTTTGTTTTCTCCCTTACATGACAGCTTCCCCCTAAGAGATCACAAGCTTTTTCTGCTATTTTGATGGCAAAGAAAGCCACACAAAAATTCACTAGGCGAAAAAGTTCAAGGGGTTTGCCCAGGGAGTCAGGGAGACCAGGCCTTGGAATCCTGGAAGGAGCCACTAGAGCTCTGGGCCTCTCGCATTTGTAAGATCTCCAACAGAAATTGTCAGTTAGCAACTTCTGCCATGCAGGATAATGACACTGCAGTGGAAGTAAGCACAAAGAATTCTGCTCAGAAGCCAGCTTGGTTAAGGCAGTTGGATCCCACATGGCTAGCTGAGTGGTTCGAGTCCTGGACCTGGCAGCTTGAGAAACACACCAGGTATATGGGTGTGCATGCCCAACATCCCAAGAGGAGAATGGAGAAAGGATTATGGCAGCTTTGTCTCTTTGCTCTTCCCTCTCTCTGTTTCTCTCTGGCAAGCATGAGTGCCCTATAACAAATTAAAAAAAATTCTGCTCAAGAACACTTCTACAAGGATATCTAAAAAGATGAAACTCTGTAAACTTGTAATGAATCAATTTTATTGGAAGTTTCAGGACAACCAGGGGCAATGATCTTCCCCTCTGGGAGGATAAGGAAGGGTCCTGGGCCCAGAGGCAGGCCTATCTGCTCAATTTTTGTAGCTGCTCTTGCTCATGGAGGTTCAACCTCCTGAAGGGCTTGGGACTGAGGATATACAGCCAGGTGGCTCTTTAAGATAATGATAACGGTAACATGTATTTATGAAACAAGTAAGCATACCGGTTACTTTCAAAACGCTTTATGTGTATTAATTAATTTAATCCTTCTATACTATTATTAACTGTACAGATGAGGAAACTAGAGCACAGAGTGATTATGTCATTTATACAAGGTCACACAATCAGGAATTGGAGAAAGTAGCATTCAAGGTTCAGAGATATGCAATCTTTACCACCTTGCCATTGCTTATTCCTTTACTAACCATTTTATGAATTAGTTCATGGGAACAGAGACTGAACATTATTAGAGATGATAGTTGGCAGCATCCTAAAAGAGTATTTTATTCTTGTTCTCTTTCCCATTTTGTTTTGAGGGTCAGGACATTGAAATCAGGACATATATGTGACCTTTCCAAAGAATTACTAGCATTAGTGGTGGAACAGATATCCCTTCTCTCAATTGGTGGGGTGGCATGGGGAGAAAACTCTCTGGACTTCAGGACAAATTCCTTTATTTTTCTGCCCTCACCTCCTAAGGAGTCTCTGCGAGAGGACAACAATAATTTGGTAAGTGACTTATAATGAATGTCTATGCAGGTTCAGCAATAGCTTGCGGCATCTCATAAGGACAAGTGAGACAAATAGGTTTACAGACCTCACCTCTCCGCCATTCAAAATGATAACGAATTTATTGCATTAAATGGGAAAATGTATATTCTTAGAATGTAGGTCGCCTACTTCATCAAATAGAATGCCAATGAGAATATGAGCCCTGCTTTTTATTCACTAAAATGTTAATATCCTGGAATTTGGAAAATCACAAAACGGAGGCAGCTTTCTAATCTTCCCTCTGAACCTTGATCATAGGCATGATAGAAGTGAAGCTGCCAAGATCCTTGTTGTGTTGAAAGATGGACAAGCAGGATCACAGTATCTCAGAGGTGGAAAGAAGCATCAAGGCCATGCAGTTCAATCCTTCCAAACCCCCCAACATGTAGTGTAGAGTGGTGGTGGGAGAGAGAGATAGCATTGGCATTAGAATGAAATGTGCACTTTGTTTGCATACTTCTCATGCTTATATCCATTCAATGTTATGACTGTAGACTTGCCTTCCTAAATATTTCTTGCCTCTTTCCTCTTCTCTATCCCCTAGCTCTGCACTAAACACTTAAACCACCATTCATCCTTTCAAAAATCTCAGGATACAATTAATACTCCTTAGTGCACTTCACAATGCTCTTTCTAGACCCATTGCTTGCTCTTCCCCCTATAAACTTTCTTTGGTCTTGGTAAACTACTTTGGTCCATTCTTGAATGAGTTACATTCTCCTGGGTGTCTGGGGCTCCACTTACTTTTTATATACTGATCCCTTTGTCTGAGACATTTTATTCCTATTTCCTGTCTGGAGAATCCCTATCTGACACTTTAAAACCCAGCTGGTTACCATTTATTCCAATTTTCTCTCCTTCATCCCTCAGTTGGGATAAGTTCCTTCCTACATGATTCTATGACACTCTCTGTAGCATAGTTTGTATATTCCGTATACTCTGTGTTAACCATTAATTTACTTCTTTGTCCTAATAGGAAGGGTTGGGCTTCTTTGTAACTCAGTGCCCAGCAGAGTGCTTGGTGCCAACTTAGTGCTCAATACCTTATGGTTGAATGGATAGATGGATTTTGATGGTATTTGGATATGCAGATGGATAAGTGAATAGAGATATAAATGGCGGGCTGCATGACAGAATGGACAGAATAATGATGTTTGGGTGGGAGAATGAATGTATAAAGAGATGCCTGAATGTGTAGGTACTTTTACCATGAACTCTGATCCTGTAGCTCCCAAGGCTTCTGAGTCAGTGTGAGGAAGTGGTATTAAACAGTAATTACTATCATCTTCTCAGATGAATGACACAGACAAGAAGCAAGAGACATGGGAAAGCAAAATAAGACAAATGTTTACTTATATTACTTCGAGCCATTGACTAGGTGAAAATGTTTAACATTCTTTATGACTTTGGGAGTGTGGGTGGGGATGTAAGGCCAAGTGTGTACAGTAAGAAGGTAAGATAAAGCGTCAGCCCTGGTAAGAACCAGGAAGCTCTAGGAATGATTGTAATCAGAAATATTGTCATTGAGTACTCCCTCTTTC